TTATATTTTAATTATGAAAGATTTTAGTCTCCACAGAAAAAATGTAGAAAATTTATATACATAAAATAACATGCTCGTGTCAAATGCATACATTGTTATATTATCAAAGAAAATATGAAAATAAACTTACCACATTTTCAATCGAATTCTCCGCTGAAAACTATAAAAATCACTGTAGAAATATCTTTACACAATGAACAGGAAAATTCAAATAATTATAAATCTTTTCGTTTTAAAATATCGATCTAGAACAAATTACGATAAACGGATCAATGCGTCAGTTTTTCTCGCGGTATATTCTTTTTCTTGTCTTGTGAAAGAAACAAAGAATAAATAGTTTTGGCAGATAATTTAATTATTTAAATAAAGTCTAAAGCATTACACGTATCATCTCAAATCAGATTTGTATCGATTCTTTAATGGCACACTTTCGTAATTCAAGATATAATTTTATTCGTATTATAACATAGATATAACATAGATGTACATACTTAATCAACAAAAAGTTTTTATTGAAATAAAAAATTTTATTATTATGTTGAAATTTTTAATACGAATTATGAATATATTATAAAACATAGTATAAAATCATATTTATAAAAAGCATTGTATTATAAAAACAATTAATAATTAAATTAGATTAAGTTTAAATAAAAAATCAAACAATGACTAGATATTAAAAAAAAAAATAATAATTAAAATGATGCTATATTTAAATCCATTCTATTTCACAGAGAAGCCAACGAAAAATCAAACTTTTCTCCGCGAATATAATTTGTAATGCAATCCTACGATATAACTCGTGTAATAAAAGTTTCATCGATATTTACTGTCTTCGGTAACCATTACTGGTTTTTAACGCAGATTATACACGTTATCGATAATTGAAATCAGAATTATTAGATATCATATCGTGATAAAAATTCTTTGTTTAAATCTTTCTGATAGGAAAAAAAATATAAATTTTATACATCTATTTTTTTCCTGTCAATTTTACAATAACAGTGTGACGATTTAATCAAGAATTGTTGATCGATCTTTTTTTTTTTCGTTTCATTTGAATTAAACAGACAGGAACTTGTTTCGAAATTTAAAGTGAATTTTTTAATTTGTGCAATTTGGTTCAAAGTTAAATTTTTAATAAGTTCAATGAGTTATTTAAAATTTTATTATTTATTGTTCATGTGAAATCTTGTGGCATGTAATAAATAACGTTAGAAAGTTCTATATGTTTGTTCGAAAAATTTAATCAAAGTAAAAGTAAAGGTAAGTTTGAATATTCATCATGATGTCAATCGCGAGAAATTGACTATTCATTGTGCATTTATACATCATTCAAGTTTTCATGGTTAACATTTCTATTATTTCAACTGATAGTTACGTTGAGGTTATGTTTCTACAACATGATTATGATTTTGTGAGTAATTTATAGATTTTATAATCCAATATTGTGTATTGCATAATATCATAAAAAGATAAAAAAAAATGCAATTAATTTTTATTCGATTCGATTAACATAAGTTTCAAATATTATTTTGTATTCCTGTTAATACTTTATTACAAATTACCAATTTTTTTTATCAATAAAATTCGAAACTTTTATAAACAGTAAAGAAAATGTAAAGAAAAATTCGATTATCTATCTATTTATATCCGATTATAGAATTTTTCTGAAATTTTAAAAATATATTATAATTTACTATGTGTTAATTTAAAACGTAGAAAATATATTAGAAATTTCTTTATTTAATATTGAACTTTTCTACTTATTTTAATGCATTTCTAAACTTTTGATGAGAATATGTATATTTTAAATTATTTATAGTCGAGATATTGCTATCAAAAGAAAACAATCGAGAATTTCTCGATGCCAAGATTCTTCAACGAAGAGGAAAAAAGCACGAAATAATTGAAAGAGTACTCCAATTATTTGGTTCCTGAATGGACGGCGACTGGAAGCTTTTTAATTCGATATTATAACTTGATTTTCCAACATTTTGGACTATATCGACTGCATTCAGTACAGCTTTTTGGCCGCGTATTACATTATTTAGTTAATAAATTGCATTCAATCGTTCAAGTGATCTTTGAAATAAGGCCAAATATTAATAAAAAACCGGATAGATCCAATAAAATGGTTATTATTATTTTACAAATTTTCTTCTTATTGCTTGAATAATATCTAATGAAAAAAATATGTTATATCGTTAAAAAGAAATTTTTTTATCATAAAAGAAAAGAATTTCTCCAAAAATATGTAAAAAAAATCCAAATATTAACAGTGGAATTTAAATAAATCTTGTTAAATTCTAGGAAATAGAGGGAAATTGTGAAGGAAGCAATTCTGGAATGATAGAACCAGTAATTAAGAGGAAACAAGGTGAATTCTTGAGAAGGAGAGTCTTTATCATAGTAGGAGGAAAGATTGGTCGTGGGAAGAACGACGACAAAAGAAGGCAAACTCAAGGTATCGCTAGTTTATCGAGTCTGAGAGCATTTCTTTGTACAGACTAGGTGGAAAAATCGCGAAACTCTCGATAGCTGACCTGGTTACGTCTATTCGTATCAAAGCAGAAGCAAAATCGTGATGCTCTTCACTAAAGAATTTATTATCCTCGAAGAGGGAGACGTCTAAGATAGATTTAAAAGAGATCAAAGGTTAATAACCTTGACTGGGATTAAGTAAATTCAACAAAAATGAACGTTTAAAATATTAAAAAATATTCTCAAGAATGCTACTTTTTATTTATATTTAAAATTTATTTGTCAAATGCTCAATACTGTCAAAATATTTTAATCTTTATCTTGAGATCTTTTGCTTCAAATTAAAAAATTTTATTTATAAAAAATATTATGATACGATAATGACATATTTCTAGAAAAGATCTAACATTGTCAATACTTTCATAATATTTATATTTGATTCATTCATTCATATTTTTCAAAATTACTTTATGATAATTTCTGAATCATTTTCGCTGTAGAAAGTTTGAAAGTTCGAAAAGCTGATCAATTCTAACGAATCGAACAAGTCTAATCTATCAGTGAGAACCTTTTACAAGTTTCATCATCTGAAAACTATAATTTATTCCGAGAAAGAGAAATGTGTTGGCGATGGGATGTGTTAATTACGTGAAGTAGCATATCGCAATTTGCATAATTCTTGGCTGAGAACGTCTTATAAAAAAAAAGGTATAATCAACGCTTTCACGCTTGCTCTAGGATTGGTTCAATTACTTAATTCTCCGTCGGGGAAATCCACTGCAATTTAATACGTTCAACTTTTTCACCACCGCGCGAGATAAGCTTTTTATTTCTGGTTTAAGGAATTTCCTTAATCCAAACGGATGTTATTAATCTTTTGAAATTGAAGAATTACTAGTAAAACAAGTAATGAGCATTTTTCATTAGAAATGAAGTAGAGAATTCTCTGTGTTTGTTATATTATAGATCAGACTACAATAATAAATATCTCAATATATAATAAAAAAATAAATCTACAACCTTTTATCTTTTATGTAATTTAGGTACATTTTAACTTGGTCTCTAATCTTAAAAGAAAATCTTGAGTTGAAAAGTCAAATGAATGGAGTTCTGAGAAAAATTAAAGATATATTTATTGCAGAGAGAAGAGAATAAAAATATAAATTTATATTGGAATAGAACAAATGATTAAATGAAATTCAAATGTATTCAACTTTTCTCTCTTTTTTTTTTTTTTTGTTGAAATTAGATTTAAATCTAGCTAGAGACAATTTACATGACGACACCTTCCTCGAATCAGAAATAAGAAGACAAATAAGAAGAAGACATTTCTGCTTTTATTCAGACACATTGAATAAGTCGTTTACATTGTAAACAGAATGCCTCCTCGTTTCACTGAACAAACAGTGAGCCTTAACCAAGTTAAAACAAATCTCGTTAATAATTCATGAACCATAGCACGACGATTATTTAAATAAATACGAAATTGGATTCCAGGCTGAAAATCGTCAACGAAAATATCCATTTATTCTTGAAGGGATTTATCTTACAATTGAAAATATAAAGGCCGGAAATGTGTTGTTAGAATGGCACAGATAATATCAAATGTTAATTTCTTCTAAGCTTTGTATTATCTTCTCTCTAAATACCGAAAATCTCTAGATAGAATGCTGCGATGAATAACACTGGAGCAAGTATAGTACCAATGTTGGACCTTGCGATTAGCTGTGTATCAGGATTTAGAATGTTATATAGGGACATGGTATGACTAAGAAGTGAGGTAGTCAAGCCAGTAATAGCCTACTCTAAATAGTTGACATTGTTCATTGGTAAGAGGAAAATATAGTATCTGATAATCAAACCTTTATATATTACTACCAATCATATTACATTATTTTCATTCACATCCTTAATCCTCTATTATTCTAATTTTCATTTTCACCCCTTCGCATTACAATATTTCAATAATATCAATACTCAACAACATCATCCACAATTCCAAAAGATTATATTATCCTCAATACATTATGTTATTCATGACCATACCAAGAGTCATAAATCATCGGCGAAAAACCCTATACATAACACCCACTCGATCCTTCATATATCCCCCTTACACCTAACTTATACCAACCAACTAGCCAAGAGTTTCACAACCAACTGTTCAAAAAAATTTTCAGAAAAAAATCCATTTATTGCACAAAATTCACCAACCAAGCTTTAACAAAAACACCTTCAGAAACAACAACTTCACAAAACTATCAAAACTTCCCCAAAATTTTTTCCAAAACTTCAACCATCCATCCCAAGACCAAGCATCTTCCATCCAACTCCAAACTCCCAATCCCCCACACCTGGCTCACTACAATTCTCCAAACCCACCAAAAAAAACCATCTCTGTTGCAGGCCAAGAATCCCAAGCCGTTCCATGAGAGTGCGTCGACCCCTCTCGCGGCACCACCCCTCCCCATAATCCCTCCATCCACCCACATTGTGGAGAAGGAAGGAAGGAAGGAAGGAAGGAAGGAAGGAAGTCCTCCACCCGAGAATCGCCACGGAGGATAGAAGGAAGAAGGCGTACGTGGCGGAGACGTGGAGGGTGGCTCGCGTGCCAAGAAGATGCGACTGTTCGCGTGGCCTGGCAGCGTGACTCGCGGTGGACTCATAAACGATGAATTGGCGGGCAGCGATGTTGGCTCGGCCGAGAGACGCGGCAGCAGCAGGAGAAGCAGCGGAGGAGGCAGCAGCAGCCACGGCAGCCAGCAAATCGGTAGATTGGACGCGCGATCGGGCGAACACCACGGGGAAACCATCCGCTTGGCATGTACGTCATCTATCCGGCAGACGAGTTGCTGCGTATCTATGAGAGCCAGGATCCCCGTGATCCCTGCCGTCCAGTGTTGACCGGGGATCGCCGACGTACGAGTTGTCAAGTGGCCGTGATCGCTGTCGACGCCGAGTGCGGCAACCAGCAGCGCGCCAGAGGCCACGAGGGCAACGCGTGGACGAGGAAGGAGAGGAGACGGGAGCGCGGGCGTACGACGCGCAGGAGGAGGGCGAGCAAGGGTATCCGCGGCGAGCAACACGTCACGACACGGACTATGCAAAACAGCCGCGCTGCCGCCGCCGAGGATCCCGGCAATCCTCTCAAGGATCTCACCCAGCCGGGGCTCAATGAGCCGCTCAAGCAGCACAATGCGGCCACCCTTAAGCTGGTGCAGACCGGTGAGTGAAGCGACGACTTCTCCTCTATTTCTCTTTCTTATTTCATCGATTTTTCGTGAAAAGGGATTTGTGTTTTTTGTTGTTGTTGTTATTAATATTATTTAGAGGGGATTTTTTCTTATTCAATTTTCATAGTCATTTTGCATTTTTGTTTTGATATGGGAAATCATAAAAGAAGCGTGAGCTTGATGTACGTAACGCATCGTGAATTATTTATGCGAGGGAAGATAGAATATGGAAAGAATGTATTTCGGTATTTATACATAGATGGGTATGGGTGGGGGTGTAATACGTTGGAAGTTGATTTAAGGAGAACATATTTGTATTTTAGGAAGTTTTAATGGCGGAAAGTTAACTATATTGGTCAACTTCTGGTCCCACGCATTTAATAAAGTATTATACGTGAATGAATGATTAAAGTTTCGGGGACTAATTAGCCTTAAATTGCGACTAGCGAGCGAGTTTAACGGTAAATTACAAGTAAAATGCGACACAACGGATTATACGTTGAGCCGCTGAGGATGGGCAAAAGTACGCTTTCTTTGCCTCCCAATTATTCCATTGTTTGTGGGAACGAGTTCGTGATGCGAAATAATACTTTTCAAAGCGATATCTCTCCATTCTGTCGTAAAGTTTTAAAAAAATTCTCTTCTTTTTCCTCAAATACTATTTTAAAATTTAACCAAATATATATATATATTTCATTATATATATATTTCATTAAATTATTATTTGATCGTGATAATAATACAATTTGCTTTACACGTCTTTTCACGTTTGAAGGCCCTAGAGTAACGAAATTACATGTTAAACCTCGACGTTGTTCTTTAGACCACGTGACGTGTTTCATGCTCAAAGCGTATAAGTCACTTTAGGCTTGTTCCAAACGACTCTCTTAAGAAGCATAATACCGCTTGTCACGAGTAATAATTACTTTGACAAATTCCCTAGATTAATCTTACCAAATCCTTTTTTTTTTTTTCCACTTCATTTTCATTCGTTCTTCCATTTGTTTTCCATAATTGGCGATCAATTAATTAGCGATTCCATTTATTTTTGGGAATAGTCTCGTTTGTCGGGCGAAGAGCAGAGTTCAGTGTTGCCAACTTTTGTGCGATGATCGATGATAAACGTTTTAAGTAAGGTTGGGCGTAAAGAATCGTGTCGGTAAGGAAGAGCGGAAATGAAGAACGGAAACGAAGAATTCTTCTGGCATCGGTTTCCCCGAATTCCGGCCAAACCATCTTTTCACGTCCAACTTTTTTCCAACGATCTTTGTATTTTGTAATCTGCGACCATCGTTGTAAACCATAAATCCGTGGGAAACGGGAGTCCATCCAGAGTGCAAAGAAATTCACGGAAGAATCTTGTTGGCGTAGATATTGCTCCCATAATGGCGGATCCAGAGTTCAGTATCCATAGAATTGGTCCCTTTCCAGCGCAGTTCGAGTGAAATATTAGAAAACGTCGAGAATACTCGTAAAAGGGAATAAAAAGGATGATATATTCGATCGATCTGTAGCAGTTTACATAACCATCCTTCCATAATTTTACAAAAGATTATAAAATGTTATAAATTTATATATGTTATAAATTTGTAGAAGATTTTAATATATCTCTAAGACACGTTGAAAAATTCTGAGAAAATCTGTGAAAGTTGTTTCCATTTTCATTTATTCAATTCACAAGCAATCTAGGAGATATAGAATCAACCCTATTATCTGTCGCATCTGTTTGTTATCTGCCTTCGTTTCGTCTTCATCTTCAACTTCAATTATTCATAATTTAATAAAACATCGTCCTTTCGTCGATATTTTTGCACACGAACGCTTGACAAAGCCGAATAAATGAAAAAAAAAAAAAAAACATGGAGAACCGGAAAACAATTGTTAGCGAGGACTATTATTTTTTTTCCAAAAAAAAAAAATAAATAAATAAATATTTTCTTTACCCTCAATTCTTCCATAAGCCCGTAGTACACGCGCGCCGCGGTACAAAGGAAAAATTGCGAAATTTCGACAGAGGGGGATTCTCCTTTTGCCCGAGCTCCTCGGCTCCTCTCAACCGAGCGAAGGAAAAAAAGGGTCGCGGAGTGGGGAGAGCGACAAGAGAGGAAGGAGAAAGGATGAATTCGTTTGAACGTCGGTGACGAAGACAGGCGTGGCGTGTGCCGCATAAAAATAACCGAGCAACGATGACATAATTGTAAGTTATTGCCACCATAAAACGGCGTACACGTGCTTCGCGAAACGACACGCCGAACGGCCTGCCCCCCGACGTTTTTTAGCCGTTTATAATTGACCTGTCACTGGTTACAGCATTCTTGAGCGATGTTGTCTTCGCTTCTTCGTTACTTTTCTTTTTTTTTTCTATACCACCAACGTGGATGGATGAGTTGAAGGATTTGGATATTGGCAATCACGTATTCGTTTAGCACGTATTCGACGGAGACTGAAATTTATTCGAAGAAATTAATGAACATTGATTATCATTTGATGGTAATTAAATAATGAAAAAGTAGTTTTTGATATTATTTTTTTTTTTCGAAGATTGGATTGATTAATAATAGGATAAATTTAATAGGCGAGGGAAAAGTTAGAAAGAATATTGCGGGATAATTAATTGTAACACATAAGATAAAAGTCATCATTTATGAACGATGGAATTAAATCGATATTAACGTTATTATATTAATGTTAGAGTTGAATTTAATCTAACGTAATTATGAATTAATTGAACATGATAAAATGAATTTTTGATGGTGGTGAAAGTGCTACTCGATTAAACTTGCAAACATCATCTAATCTTTAACATCCATATACATCGATCTATTGAAATAACATTCGATCGAAATCAAACCCGATCTGCTTGAATTTCAAATTATTATATTATTGTTGAATATCGTGAAAATTAATCGCCTCTCTAATTAACTATCTACATTTTTTTTTCAATTGCCTCTAAAAAAATATCGACCAAGATTATAAACTTGATTCAACTTTCAATCAAACTTAACTTAAAAAAAAAAAAAAAAAAGAAAGATGAAACCGAGCTAGCTTAATTCAAGTCGAAACAATTAAAAGTGAAATTGTTTAATAACCATAAAAGTCGGATTTATCTTTTAAAAAGAGAAAAAATTTCGATTTCGACAAACAAAACTCGGATTTTTGGGTTCGCAAAAATTTTTTTTTTTTCTCAAGTTCGCAGAAATAACGCGAGAGGGAAATTTGGTCGAGTGTCGCGCTTTTCTTCGAGTGAGTCTTAAAACCTTTAGGACTGATCACGCCAGCGGTGGCCAACACGAGAAGATTAATTATGTTAGGGCAGGGCTAGGGGTTGCCGCTTTTATTAGGAAGTCCTTCTGTCATCGATCTCTGTCACGCGCGATTTTATCGCGACCCGGGCTCGAAAACGTACGGTCACAGGCCGCCATCTGATTAACCTTTGTGTCCACGTTTCCTCCAATTCGCTAGCCACCCGCCTATTAATAACAAATGCGCTTAAATTGGGGAAAGCATCGATCTTCGTATGATTCGATGCGTCTGTTTCGAAAATAAATTTTCCAAATTATTTTCTCATTTGTTATATCTTCTCAATGTACAGATAGATTTTTCATTGTATATGAAAGAAATCTACGATATTCAACTTTCAGTTTCGAAAAAAGAATTTTTCGAATATTTTTAAATTATTTTCTATCTTCTCAAAGTTTCCATAGAGTTAGTTCATAGATTCCATAAATTCTCGAATTCTCGAAAGATCCAATTTTCATAATTCGAAAAAAATTTTTCTGAATTATTTTTTATCTTCTTAAAATTATCTTTTCCATAGAATTAAATTCTTCATAAATTTTCGAATTGGAAAGTTCCAATTTTTATAGAATTTTTTTTTCGAAAAAAAAATTTTTTTGAATTATTTTTTATTTTCTCAAAATTATCTTTTCCATAGAATTAGATTCTTCATAAATTTTCGAAAGTTCCAATTTTTATAGAATTTTTTTTTCGAAAAAAAAATTTTTTTTAATTATTTTTTATCTTCTCAAAATTATCTTTTCCATAAAGTTAGAGTCTTTAATTCTCGAATTGGAAAGATCCACTATTCATAGTTCGAAAAAAGAATTTTTCGAATTTTTCTGTCATCTCAAAGTAGAAAGAGTTTAATTTGAAATTCGGCCAATCAGAGATATGATAATAAATGTATCTGAATATCTTTGAATTAGAAAAACTCAATTTGCATATTTCGATACATTTTGGCAAAACAAATTATTATTTCTATCTTTTTCAAAATCTAGTATATAATATTTGAAATTAAGGGAAAATTTTTTATAAATTTTCCATTGTATTTTTGGATAATTGTACAGATTGTTTTTTTTTTCTTGAAGTATTAAAAGATGAAGAGATTTTTAATAATTTGGGAGAAATCATTCGATTTAATCTTGTGTTGAAAAATAATGATGATATTGAGGTCGAAGTAAGGTCAAGCGCTTTAAAATTAAGTAACCTAACCCGAATCTGATTCAAACTGTGTGGTTATTTATAACTCGACTGTACGAAGGATTAATATTTCATGAGGAATTCTGACATTTTTTTTTTTTTTTTTAGCCTCGACACCGAATAATCTGTATAAACTTCTAAAGGCAGGCAAAAGTTCTTCTAGAAATTGTTTCTTGAAAATTTATCTAGAAACTAAAAATATTCTTCGATTAATCATAAAAGAAGTTAATTTTCTTGATGAATAACGAGAAAATCTATTTTGAACGAAATTATCTTTTTTTACTCTTGATCTAATTTTCGTTAATTTTTTTAATTATCATTTTAAGAATCATCTAGTTTCGTTAGATAAATTTTTATATCTAAATTGTTATTATTTCTTTTTTCAAATTTCATAATATTTTCACGACTTCCCAATTACGATATCGTAATAAAAAAAAATTACATGCAAATACTTTCGTAAATTCATAATTTCCCATAAAATATTGGAGAAATCGCACAAATTATTAATTATAG